GGAGTGGACGTCATAGTGCTTGTATTCACCCGAATTACCCTGAACCCCAATCATACAAAGTGAGCCCCTGCTCAATCTATCCATGTTATGCACCCAATAAGCCTCTACATTGATAACACATTTAAATGAATTTAAACAATAATTTAAATAATTACTAACTTATTTCAATGGGAATGTTATCGTATTGATTGTGTGGGCATGTAATATTAAACCCCGAACCGAACTCTACACTGACCGGCTCATTCATGTCCTAATAGGTAAATATACTAGGTATTTATATTATAATAAAAATTATCATTAAAAATATGAAATCTGCACGAATGGCTTACAATCCAAAGGCCGTTAAATTTCCATCCGATATCATACAAGTGTTTGTAGCAGTCTTTATACCAGTCTTGAGTGACATTCTTGAAGAAGTCTGGAAAGGCTACCGGTCCGGGTGGCCACACACGACCGTACATATTATCGTGAGTGGTGTCTATGCCGTCCGGATTGTGTCTGTCTTGGATGGGAACACTTTTTGGCCATTTTATGAACACATTTTTGTTGTTGCCTTCACTAAAGATCGTATAATTTGCTTCATTTCCCTGAACACCCGGGTCTATGATTGGAGTCCAATGCAGATTGTATTTGGTTTGAGTATCGTTTATAAGTTGTGGTAAATCTTTGAAATAATTGGGATCTATCGTGAAATCTCTTGACCAAAATTTATAATCGCTATCAATATATTGTACGTCCTTTTAATATAAAACAGTAATTTAAATTTTATAAGATTTTAATAGGTTTTAAATCACAATCGATTGGTTGACATACATATGGGACCTCGTGTTTGATTTGTCTCTCGACAACGGCTTTAACCATATTTGTGTTATGATAACCATATTTGGAGATTTGAAAGCCAAACGCCCAAAACNCAAACGCCCAAAACGATGGCATAAATGTGCGACCGATTAGTGATGTGTATAACTGTATGACATGTTCGGGATTATCGCCGACAAACACAAAGAAGTCCAGAATTCCTCCGATTGTCTTAACAGATACTGCCGGTGCCGGCATAAGTGTGTACTCTATCATAAAAAATATTTTAAGATCCATTAAATGATAATTATTTTGGCTGTAATACCCATAGCATTGCTGTTAAGTAACAGAATTCCGTGTGAATTGCCATTAGATTCAAGTACTGTATAGAACGGGTGCTGACCGTAGTTGTTCTTTTGGTCACCCTGCACATTCAATTCAACAATATCTTAATATAAATCTTTAAATATTTCTAAAATAGATTAATTACAATAAAATGAGATAAAAAACAACAAATGAGAGGGACATACACTATCCGGTGGGTTGTCTTTTGTAAATATGGGCCAAGTCTTGTAATTGAGATTATGTCTGAGAGACGGGTGTGTATTCTCACCCAATCCGTAGACATTATTTGAGGGCAAATAACTCGCTATTTGTATGAACTGATCACTAAATACCAGTCCACCAATAGATGTGTCCAAACTATTTTAGAAGGTAAATACAATATTATAATAATTATATAAATCTTTTCAATTATGATTATTACTAACATTTTTGTGGCTGAACTTTTTCTTTCAATAGTGAACCCAAAGTCAGTTTTATTTAAATTAAATTTATATTTTCTCAGGTTTTCATCGATTTTATGGAGAGGTTGTTGAAGGAGTGGAAAGTTAGACTGAATGGGGACTTCATATCTCTTGTTATTGGCGTCAAATATCTTAACCCGGAGTATGTTTTCTGTCAAATACGTGACTTCAGTCTTCAGAGCATCCAATTGTGTGACAAGTTTTGTATCTTTTGCCGAGTCTTTCAATTTGAGAGTCGCTTCCAAACCAAAGTCAGTGTCTTTTGTTGAGTCTATTCTATAGCCGAGTTTTGCTGCATTGAAATAACAGTAAGGAATCTCTGGCTTATCCTTCACGGGATCGTAAATACATCCTCTCTCTTGACACTGGGTTTGACTCAACTGTTTGTCTGAAAATTGAAATTAATTTATAACTAAAAAATAATTTTTCGCAATCTATGAAATACAAACTCGAAATAACACAATCCAATCGATTACTATTTGGATCGACTGAATTACATAAAACAACCAGTGTGAAAGTTGATAATAATTTTAATAACATTTTTACAAATAAGAAAACCTACAATGCTCGCATTGAGCACAATAAACTTATAAATGTTCAACTCACTTTTTATATCCTATTTTATTTTTTATCAGCAGTTAGTAACGGATCTCAAAATCTTGCAAAATACTAGTATTAGGAGCATATTATCAGTTTGTACTAATACGGGCACAACATTATCATCGGTTAAATAATCAATAAACTATTATTTGCCCTTATTTTTGAAAAACAATTCACAGAGATGATAACTTTTACACTTAAAATATGAACATTAGATTAAAATAATATCAATAATTTTTTTCAATTTTTATTCAATTTTATTATAGATTAAGTTTTACATGTATAAATATAATTAATTAAACAATTATTTCAAATTACATGTGTTGTCAACAGTTTTCCACTCAATCTTCCAAATCTGACCCTCTTTTGCAGCATTCAAATCGATATTCACTGGAAATATAATGTAATCCTCTTTTACCACAACATTTTCAATTGCTTTTCCATCGAGTAATGCATTGATTTTGACTTTCAAAGTGTTGGCTATTAATACTTTCTCAATCAAATGAGATTTACTTGAGTTATAGCCTTTTGTTTTGACTCTTAATTGTAGTGAACAGTTGGCAAACAATTGAAATTCATAGAAATTATATTGTTTTGTCTCAATAGTGTTGAGAGAGTCTCCGTCGTCCCAAAACAGATCTCCCGTCGCCTTCTTGTCTTTGGGATAGACCTCCAGATTAATTGGTTTGTCTCTCAATACCTGTGTATTGACTGCTTTGTTGTAACCAATGGGCAGAATATTTCCACCCCTCAGATGTATGGGAGGAACCTGTCTATTATTATCTGCAATCTTAACGAATCCGGTCTTTGGATAGAGTTTCACAAATTCATCGGTCGGTTCATACCAGACATCATTGGGAAGGTATGCATTCACTTCAG